TTAAAAAAAAAAAAAAAAAAAAGTGGCTTGTTGCATAACGTTTCTTGTTTCGTGGGCAGATGTTAAAATGTCGTCCTTTTTTTCCCGTTTCTTTTTTTTAATCTGTTCTGAGTTCTCTTTTTTTCGTCTCTTCTATTTTTCACGGTTCGTCTCTTCACGAAGTCTTAGAAACGGTCTATTGTACGTTCGTTAGTAGCCATGCAGGCTTGTTCATGCCCTCAGCAAATCCCATCATCTGCACTTCTCTCTCACTAGGGAGACTGTGGCAGAGAAGGGGCTGAACGAGGTGTCCAAGCCGATGTTGCTGTGCGGATGTAGAAGTCTCGGTGTCCAGAGCGTTTAAAAAAAGAATGTGTTGATATTACTTGATAAACCATCGAGGTCCCTTTGGTCCCTACTTTTTCTTTCCACGTCACGTCAATTGAGCTTTAATCGTCTGTATGTTCGATCTGTATAGCGCTTGAATTTCACATACAAATATCTGCATGGTGGAGAAGAGTTTCGATAACGGAGAGGTAGTGTGGGAGGTCGTTTGTGGTCGATGACTTGTCGCCCTTTGCTCATCGCGCAAGTTTGAAAAAGTTTTAACGGCAAATCTCGTTAGTAGATGGCTCATTGCTTCTCTCTGTTGCTGGCCACGCACGATGAGGCTTTGAACATTTGGAAGGTGATTTTTGTCGGGAGGAGGAGGTTGGTGTGCTGTGTTAATTCTGTCAGAAACTGAAAAACTAATAAGCAGATGGCATTTTTAATGGCGTTGCCTGTTTCTGCACTCAGGGCCTGCACGGGTGTTTGACTCTGAAGAGGAGATGCTTGCAGCACTTTCGGAAGATCCGTCTAGCTTCAAGGTCCGTAGTGGTTTGTGGTTATATCAACTTATATGTGCTTCTTCTTCTCTGGCCTTTATTGATTATTACAAAGTGCCACTTTGACCTTCATTATTTAAAAAGCATGCATCGTCTGTTTCAATTGGGAAACACTTTTCTGTTTTTGTTGCGTTGCTTGCAGATTGTACGGAGTTGCACTAGTATGTACGGAAGTTGTCATCCTAGAAAAGGATGTTAGGTGCACTATTGTCTGCACCTGAATAGAAGACTCGGTCATTACATCTGTATTTGGGCCAGCTTTCAGTGTAGATGCCTCTGTAGTGACTGGGTGCTTTATTAGGTTAGGTGAAGAAGAGAAGACGGCTGCAGGAAATTGCGCGTGGGTGCGGACTGTGGAAAACAATGGGAGCGCAATGCAATTCCAACTTACTAGATATGAGAAGAATGACACTAAGAGGGCATCCATAAAATTGACTAGTACTGGTAGTAAAAGGGCGATGCAGCGCTTGCTCACTCTTTTGCCGGCGACTTCTTCTCAGTTCGTTTGCAAAGACGATCGGCCCGCAGAAGTCCTTCGTTGGTGATCCTTCTTCAGGGGGGAGATGACAGGATGCGGTGGGACTGATAATCTTTAAGGCGATGGTGAGATCTTGTTATGCAGACTTTGCATGCAGTGTTATGAGATCTCGTAGACTTGCAAAATACTATGTCATGAATGGTTAACCTGCTTGAAGGTATGTTTATTGGAGCAGTATAAATGCTTTCTGATGACAACTGACCGTATCTGGTCAAGTTGAGTGCACAGATTCGGATTTGTAACGTCGTGGGTGGTTTGAACTTTGAACCCTCTGATCAAGGGCCTCGCTGCACTACTCTCTCGACATGCACAAAAGACAAAAATATTGCCGGTGTATCTTTCCATATTCTAGCGGAAGATTCACTTTCGTTTTGCACATTTCGAGAGTAGTGCAGCGAGGCACCAAATCATGTAACTCCATGATATCAGCTCTGGGGTGGGTGTATCTGATTGTTTTTTTGTTTTTTTGTTGATTGTGGGAATTTTGTTTTCCCTTTTTGTGACCGTCTTTTGCTTCCAGGGCACGGTTGTGATTATCCGAGGAGAAGGTCCTAAGGGAGGTCCAGGTAAGTGAACTGCCAAGTGCAGCATCTGAGTTTGCTGTGTGTATTATGGTCGTCTGTTTTGCGGTCATCGATATTGGGACTGGTTAATAGATCGCCTTCCTTTTTCTTGTGGAGTGGAGGTGACTGGAGGCTGCTGGTGCATCTGCTTGATGGTCATGTCCTTCTGCACAAGCTTCAACCACCACTGCTCCTTACTAAAGCACCAGTACATGCCAGCTATCGGCGGCGGGCCCCTTTCGGAACCGAGCGCTGTCGATTCATTTATCTACGGTGCTCGGCCTCCTAAATTTTCCGGAGAGGCTCGAAACAGGTTCTCCAGTTGCCTGGGGCCATGTACTGGTGGTTTAAATGCACCTGCTGTTGGCTGCAGTGTGGGGGCTGGTAGGCTTGGGCATGCTCGGTGGCTTTTTGAAAACTATTGAATGCCGACTTTGGTGACTTGTTAGGCTCAGAATATTTGACAAAAAAAAAAAGAAACTGAAAAAGATCAGGGCTATAGATTGAGTGCTGATCCTTTTAAGAAAAATATTTCAAAATTTACAAAATAAATATGAAATTTCTCCATGGCAAAAGAACTTAGACGGCAAAAGAACCTATTTTGTCCTCCCGGCTGCTACCGGGTTTTGGTTCGGTGTGCCAGGCTTGGGAAAAAAGTGTTTGGTCGGTGAAATAGCACAGCGGGCGTATCTGAGTCGGTACACCCGTGAACTGCTGACATACAGACATGAGTTGGAATCCAGATGGAACAGGTCGATGAAATCAAAAGAAGAGTGGGGGAGGGGGGGGAAGGGGACTCGGGAAAAAAAAAAGATGTTACTGGGGGCGGTGCTGTTTTAGACAGCAGAGGTTCATCTGCAGATCATGCCCTGGCTGAACCGTATGCTGCTAGCCTGCTGCCATCTTGACTTGAATTGAAAGCGATGTCATGATGGCTGTGTCTTGATTGAAATTTGCACCAAATATGGCTGTGATGACCGGGTGACACGGCAGGCGTTGTATTCTGGTGAAGTCAGTAGTGCATGCTACACGACAAGGGGAGTGAATGTGGGGCGCAAGGCTCACAGCAACCTAGCATGTTTAGTCGGTATATCTGCGAAGCAGCTTTTGTGGGAATATGGCGTTTGATTCCTACCATCTTCACCTGAATAGAACACCCCGTCATTATAGCTGCGGAGTTGGCACAACTCTCTGTCCAGATGCAGCGATAATGACTGGGAGTTCTATTCGGGTGAAGACAATACAGGACCGGTAGTCGCTGTTTTACCTTTCAGCTGCAAGCATGACGAAACAATGCACAACAAATGCGTCGATGAACGAAACTAGTCATTTTACTTCCCTCTCTAGACTGAGAACGATCTTTGAATGATGCGTTTCAAGAACGCTCGTTCTACTCAGGGAGATGAAACTACACCTCGTGGTGCTGGTGTGCCGGGTTGTTTTACTGCGGCTCGGAGAGTTTTTATTGTCTGAAACTTGCGTGGAGTCGTGGAGACCACCTGAGATTTGGAAGGTGGTTGTTAATGCATGCTCATCTTCATGTTGCAGAGTCCTTTCAGAGGATTTTGAAGCAACATACAAATGTGTGCAACATTGATAAAACGTTATGCAGTTCTGCTCTCTGGCTGTGACATCAGCCCAAGTCAGAAGCCAGTTGCTGACGTTTTGACAATGACCGGTTCAGCTCTCAAAATCATATGCTGCGAGCATTTCTCGGAGTTCGGTTTTGGAGGACCTTCAAGGTCCGAAATTGCATGATGAAGGCGATGCATGCAGGTCTGGTGTAATTATTAATCAACCATGCAGTTCTGCTCTGTCGTGGAGCAGAACTGGGAATTTCGAGGTCCGTAACTCAGATCTTACCGCGGTAATTGCGAGTCTTGTGGGGTGACGGGAGGCTCTAACAGCTGTAGCTCAGTTTGTTGGAACTGATTTGAAGTTTTCTGACATGCAAAGCTCTTGAGGGTGTAGGAATGGCCTCAGCTCCCTACTGTAGGAATGGCCTCAGGAGTCAGGACATGCATTTTCAGGAAGTTGGTCACTTGCCGGACGGAGCAAGGGCCTTGGCGCCACACGACTAGTGAAGTAGGCAAAAAACGTCCGTTTCTACGAATAGTAACAGATGAATCCATCCGTGTTCTGCGGGAAGATATGCGAGCATCCATCTTGCCTTGCTGCAAGCATCCAGTGCTAGTGGGTCTTGGCCTTTTCAATGTCGGCGCATGCTATTTAGCACGCCTTTGTTCGTGCGTGCTCATCTTCATGTTGTCGAGTTCCGTAAGAGGAATGTTGAACCAACATACAAATGCATGCAACATTGACAAGCAACAGTGGGCCAAGGACTTCGTCATCTGAACAGATTGTGTTTATGAAGGCACTTGCCACTGTTGGAAGATTCCACTATCCTGCACGTAAAAAGAGTTGATGATCAGGTGCGTGTGAAGGTGTGGTGTATGCATCCATCATCCCCTTTGGTTGCATTTCCGATTGGAATCATGTCTTTCGCCTGGCTTGCAAGTGTCTAGCGCTAGTCGCCCTCGGCTTCTGTAATATCAGTACTCACTAACTGATGATCCAGCTTTGTAAGTGCGTGCTTATCTTCATGTTGTCGAGTTCTAAAATGGGAACGTTGAACCAACATACAAGTGCATGCAAAACGGACGAGCAACACCACGCGTCGAATTTGACATCTGAACAGATTGTGTTTCAGATGGCACTTGCCAGTGTTGGAACATTCCCAGTATCCTCCTGATTGATGACTATTGACGGGCCGGTGTCTGTAAGTAATTGTCCGCCCGTTCCGTGCAATCGTGATTGCAATAGTGACAGCACAATCAACATTTTCTGTAGATCATCGTTCTCGCCCTTTTGGATTTCAATGCTCGCTAATCAGTCCGGTTTGTGTCAGTGCATGCTTATCTTCACGTTGCCGAGTTCTGTAACAGGAATGTTGAACCAACATACAAATGCATGCAACACTAACATGTAACATCAGGCAATTACCTTTGCCATCTGGACAGATTGCGTTTCAGAGGGCACTCGCCAGATTTCGAACATTTTTGACTATCGTGCTTGTGCCCCTTGCGTGCAATTGTGGTTGCAATAGTGACAGCGCGATCAATGTTTTCCGCCTCGCTTGAAAGCATCGAGCCCTAGCTGGTCTTGCTCTTTACGATTTCTATGCTCGCTAATCAATCCGGTTTGTGTCAGTGCATGCTTATCTTCATGTTGTCGAGTTCTGTAATAGGAATGTTGAACCAACATACAAATGCATGCAAAACTAACAAGTAACATCAGGCAATTACCTTTGCCATCTGGACAGATTGCGTTTCAGACGGCACTCGCCAGAGTTCGAACATTTGACTATCGTGCTTGTGCCCCTTGCGTGCAATTGTGGTTGCAATAGTGACAGCACGATCAACGTTTTCGGCCTCGCTTGAAAGCATCGAGCGCTAGCAGGTCTTGCCCTTTTGGATTTCAATGCTCGCTAATCAGTCCAGTTTGTGTCAGTGCATGCTTATCTTCATGTTGCCGAGTTCTGTAACAGGAATGTTTAACCAACATACAAATGCATGCAACACTAACAAGTAACATCAGGCAATTACCTTTGTCATCTGGACAGATAGTGTTTCAGAGGGCACTCGCCCGAGTTAGAACATTCGACTATCGTGCTCGTGAAAAGAGGTGATGATCCTTCCAAGTACTTCATTGGCAAAATTGCTGGCGAAAGTCACTGCTGTCACCACGATCCAACTGGTCCAACTGAAACGAGTGATCTATAAAGAGATTAGGAGTGTGCTACAACTCATATGAGCCGTCTACTTCAGAGCTAATAAACTGTCGGTGGTTCGGCAGCCTATGCGCTGGGCTAAGCGTTATGTGCGAACCAGCAATGATAGTGGTGATCATCGTATGGTCCTGCATGGAAAACAAACAAGAAGGAACCTTAGGAGCGGAAACATAAGAGGAGGGTAGGAGATGGACGCAGAAGGGGGCGTGGGCGTGCACGCGCGAGTGTGTGTGTGTGTGTGTGTGTGTGTGTGTGTGTGTGTGTGTGTGTGTGTGTGTGAGAGAGAGAGAGAGAGAGAGAGAGAGAGAGAGAGAGAGAGAGAGAGAGAGAGAGAGAGGAATGCCTAATAGAAGGTGATCTGGAACTGGAATTTGTGGAGGAGCAAATCAATCATGATGGGGGACATTGCTGTACGGTCTTGAGCAAGAGTGTACTTATACACAACTCTCTGAACGATGACATACCTAAGGGTTAGGTTTATGACCCTCGTGAGGCATGCGGTTGGGTAGAGTGCGTGGATCTGGTGGTTGGGTGGATTGTGATGTATAGTACACAAGCAGGAACTGTTGTAATGAGCTTTTAAGTTAGTAGGCCGTTTGTGTGGATCTGGTGGTTGGGTAGATTGTGGGGTGTAGTACACAAGCAGGAATTGTTATAATGAGGTTTTAAGTTAGCAAAGTGGATGTGCATATGTGAGATCAGTGCATCTTGGTATGAATATTTGCATGTTGCGGAGTGCTTTGGCCGATGCTTGAACTGGTGAGGAGAAGAGCCAGCGAGCCAGTTCAACCATCGGAGCCCTCTTTCAAAAAACTAGTCCTTGTATTGCGGAGTGCTTTGATAGTACAATAAGGACAAAGGAAGAAAAGAAGGGCAGCATGTTGTTAGCGGTGGGACTGTTTTTTTGAAAGAGGGGGAAAAAAAAAGTATTCCAGTGTTGTTGTAGCAGAGGGGAAGCCCAAATAGTTTGTGTATATCTGACAGAGGATGTACCAATTGCACAATTTTCCAACTATGAGGCGAGAAGTTGCACTGGGCACATCCGTTAAAATTGGAACGGTATGGAGAAGATTAGCATGGCCCCCGCGCATTCAAGGATGACACATAAATTGAGGAACGGTCTAAATTATTTTTAGAAAAGAAGTGCTGAGAGAAGTGATCTTTGTGAAACACAAGATGGGAAAGAACATTTGGAAAAAAAGAAGGCTTCGGTATAATGTTCCCTGCTCTCCCCTCGATTTCGAAATACAGCAACTGACAAGTCAGCAGTGACTCAGCACTGTTTGTGTTGTATAACTTACTCGTATTTTTTTCATGTTTGGCGACCGGATTGCAGGGATGCCGGAAATGTTGACGCCTACGAGTGCCATCATGGGTGCTGGTCTTGGCAAGGTGAGTGATGTGTGATCGAGATAAAGGGACAGTGGGATGGGTAGAGAGGGAGAAGCGGGTAACGGAGCCGAGTGAATTTTCAGTTTTTTTTTCAACTTTCTTTCGTGGGCTTTGTAACAAAACTCCCACACCCTTTGGACTAAAGTTGTCACCAATCCATAGAGTGGACGACAAATAAAGTTCAATAAAAAATTTAAACTTTAAATACACCAAGAGTAAAAAAAAAGAAAAAGCAAGGAAAAAGAGTTTAAAAGACCCAAAAAGCCTGCAACCCTAAGGGCCTAAGGCAAAATTGAACCTTTCACGAGCTTTACAGATTTCCATGATTTTCAGGTTTTTCAGGGCTTGCACGAACAGTCGTCTCCAAGGCTCCAACAAACACCAAACTTGGCCCGGAACGGGGTAAAAAAAAGGAACAAATTTGCCCGCAGCCCTGAAAATTTGCACAGGCCTTGACAAAGAACGTAACGGGGTATTAAGAAAAAACGAAAGAACTGAACAAATTTGCCCGAAAATTTTGCACAAATGCCTTTTTCAGTGCTTGGGTGGTTAACCATCGACCCCCATGGGCTGAAAAGTGGGGGTGCTTCTGACGACATGTGCAGATTGTCGATAGGGGGTTTTGATGGTGAGTAGCCAAGAGTGAGGGGGTCAATGGTGAGTAGCCAAAATTGAGGGGGTCGATGGTGAGTAGCCAAAAGTGAGGGCCAATGGGTTAAGCTCAGTGTGATGTTGGAACGGGAAAGAGGTAGCTGAAAGAATAATTGGAAAACTTTGGAAGGCAAGGCCCCCGTGTGTTTTCAGAATCTTCAGATGATGTTGTTGATCTGGGAACTGAGGGGTTCAGTTGAGTTGGAATTCTCCAAGGGGTGTCGGAACAGAGGGGTTATTAGTTAGTTGGGTTGCCACGTGGATGGGGCGGAGGAGGGGGGTTCAGACGGTGAGAGGGAGAGAAGGGGTTTGGCTTATATAGGGGTCTTGAACCACCAGTACCTCCGTGGCTGGTGGCTTCCTCCTGCGCTCCCAAGCTTTGCCGAAAGGCCAGCCATTTGGTTTCCCCCAGACGTTTTTGTTTTCGATTTGGCTCGCACTGCCAGCCATTTCGGTTTGGCTTTTCCCCCCTCCGAACATTTCGAAGAGGCTCTGTTGTTTTCTAAAGTTGCCTGGGGGCCGGGCCATGTACCTGTGGTTCAGGACTGGAAGATTTGCACTGTTGAGGCTTGCATTTATTTTTCACAGGGTATAGGGTTTAGGGTTTAGGGTTCGGTTGGCTTACAGGTAATGTTTTTCATGTGTCTGGCTCTGGGGGCCACTCCAGTACACAACGGTCAAAGCGTATGTGGGCGGTGGTCGTGTCCATATACATTCGGACCGACACAACATGTCCAATGTATTGGACGATTCCTCTGTCCAAGTTCATTCCAAATGCTGTGTAGTGGACCTAGGCCCTTTGTCCCTGGGAGTGCGATGCAATTTCTGTCTTTTTAGGGTCTAGGACTCTTTAACCTTCTTTAAAGGTGTACCTCATGAAGTTATGCGTTTTTTATCCTGGCATTTGAGTTTTGAATATTATGATCTGTCGAGGAGAACATATATACATATTCGATATATATATCATATATGCAATGATTGTCCATCAATAAAGACACGAACCAGGTACACATGTTTCTTTTCCTTTTTTTTTTTGTTTTACTAGTTGGTTTTCCTTTTTCTGACTATCTTTTCCTTTGGAATGGTTTATGTAATACATGGTGCATGCATGCATTGGCAGGAGTGCGCATTGTTAACGGATGGGCGGTTTTCAGGAGGCTCTCATGGCTTTGTGGTTGGTCACATTACTCCTGAGGCGCAGGTAAGAGTGTGCATCAACACTGCCCGACCATTAAACGTTTCATGAGTTGGGAGATAATATTTTGGAATCAGGTACAAGTGCACATAGCTAGGCTACCAGAGTGGCCTGGGGCAACTTGCCCGGCCGGGAATTAACTTTTTTTTTTGCCGATTTTTTGGAATCTTTATTTCTTTTTTCGCTTGAAACTTCTTTGGTCCTTGCACTGGCCGGGCCGCCCGGGAGAACAAGGTGACCCTGGCGGTCCGGCTGGTAGCCTGGGTGCTTAGAGAATTTCATGGTATGAACCCTCTGCAGTCCAGTCATCGTTGTTGTGGTGCGAGGCAGTCCTCAATGAGGGCACTATTTGAGAATGTTTTAGGGGAGAGGGAACTCCTCAATGATGACCCTCTGCGACCGATTGTGTGGTGATGTTGTGGAAGAAGAGAATTCAGTGGAGAATTTCAGAGGAGAATTCAGAGTGCGGTTCGATTTTCCTTGTTTATTAATGCTTCCAATCATCAAATTGCTACGCTTGCCGTAGTCTTTTTTCAAGTCTTTTCCTCCAGTAATTGCTTTGGAAGACTGAGACTATATTACAAAGTTCTGCTACAAATCATAGAGTGCGTGGAGGTGGTTTTTCTTTTTGTGTGTGTGTATGTTTGTCCAGTGGTCAACCATGGTAATATTCTACAATGAAGGCTTGGCTGACCCTGTGGTGTTTTTTCTGTCTTTTATGTTTTGAAAGAAGGGAAGGGGCCTGTGTGTTTAAAAAAAAAAAAAGAAAAAAAAAAGGAAGGAAGAAAGAAAGAAAGACGACTTTTGTGAGCTTGCGGTGATGTTCTTAAAGCAGCAGCGCTAGAAAGTCTCAGCACATGTTGTTCCTTGCTTATTTTTTAAATAAAACAAAATTGGCTTCTTTTTTTTTTTTTTTTTTCCCCTGCCTGCCCCCCCCCCCCCCCCCCCCCCCCGCCCTCCTCCCTCTGCACCGCCCCCCTCATTGTTTGCTTTGGAGATCAGGACTGATATGATGGTGGCGGTCTTTGTTGGAGCTTCATTTCTCTTGCTTTCCCCATGCCACACTGAGATAGCAAATGCTGTTCCATAGATGTTTATGTTTCTCTTCTGCTTGACGCTGTCGGACGTTCGTACTCGTGCGCCACCCCATGGCACACTGCGAGAGAAAATGCTTTTCGATAGAAAGAGGCGGTGCAGCCTTGCAGTTTCTTATGATCCTCTTCTGGTGGACACTGTGCAGGTGGGAGGGCCTATTGGACTCGTTCAGAATGGTGACATTGTGACCATTGACGTAATGAAGAGGATCATGGATATGGATGTGTCGCAAGAAGAGCTCGAGAGGAGGCGTGCGGTATGGACGGCACCACCCCTGAAAGTGACCCGGGGAACGCTTTACAAGGTATGTATATGGAAAACCAATTCAGCCTACATCTCAGTGTTACTTCATTGACGCCATGGATCCCTGTCTGCCTTTTTTTCAAACCATCAGAACGTCTCTGCGATTGAAAAACAAACATGTGGGCCGTTTACAGGTGCAGTTTTTGCGGGTCAGGGTACCGGACCAAAATGGCTGGCGTCGCTAGCGAAAAAGATGCGCCTGCTGCTTGTTTTTTTTTGGCGCGAAGGGCATTTCTTCCAGGGTCGTAGAAAAGTCCGTCGGAATTACTGGTCACTTAAACCGCAAGTACACGGCCCCCGCCTTGCAGAAACCTCTTTTTTGTCGCCACAAGCAAAACTCGGAGGAGCCGTGCAGTGTGGGGCGCCGTTGACAAAAGAAATCCGCGGCCTCCAAAGTGGTGTGGGTTTCATGCTCTGACATCTGCGGGTCTATGTATGTTGTGCTGGTGCCTTCAGCCGCTCCAGTCGCGGTGTTTGTGATGATGATGATGATGATGATGATGATGAACGGAGTATGACAATGACGAGGTATCCATACGTTGCGACACCATCTGAGGACACCACAGTCTTCGCCACCACTCGTTGTCGACAAGTCTGGGTTGTTGTAGGTGAGGATGTTCTTGGTCATCTCG